TAAAGCTAAGCTTACAGCTAAGAAGGCTTCTGCAGCTAAGAAGGCCAAAGGTAAGAGTCGCAAGACCAAGGACCGGTTGGATTGCTTTTCAATATACACCAGTGTCATTCCATTGACATGTCAATGTGTCTGTCTGTTTGTTTCCTTACAAGTTTGTAAAACTCTGTACTCTGTAGCAGCTGGTACAAAGTGTCCATCAACTGAGCCTCTGACACAAGGAGATCGAGGTGGCGGAGCAGAAGGCAAACGCAGAAGAGGCCTGCTCTGGGCTATTTGCACAAAAAGGGACCTAACTTTCTTTATTGAACAACCGAAACACAAGCACTTGAACCGCCAAATTTATACATCCTTCACCCTTTGGAAGTATACAGTATACATAGTGGTGCAACTGTTCAACGCATCTCAAAAATGTCATGGCTGCTGTTGATCTTGCCCTTACTGTGTGGATTTTGATATCGACCCAGGCCATCGAGGAGAAGGAGGAGTCTGAACATGGAGACCTTTCGCAGGAGACACTACAGTTGCCAGGTCATGGTTCTGAGCATGAAGATGAACCCTCCGCTGCAGCGCCTGGTGGGGATGCCAGCAATGATGGAGAGGACGCACCAGCTGCACCTGTGCCATCGTCCAGTGCTGCCAAGTGCAATCAGTCTTTGCACACTGTCTATTGGGCGGTTGTCCATGAGAACCAGAAGCGTCTCAAGTTCCCCCATAAGACTGGGAAGGAGATTCTCACTATGGCCAAGAAGGAGTGCTTTGTCTCAAAATCATACCCTAGATGATTGAAGAATGGTTTGGTTCAACCTGTAAGCTATCTTCAGTTATTGATGGAATTTGTTTTTGCATTCTTGTGATGCTAAGGTGGGCAACACATCCAGAACGCCTGAATGCCATGGGCCACATGTCGAAGTCTGAATTGAGCCGCCGACGCATGTCTTCAACGAAGTCGTCAGCGGATGGCACTGCCTGACAAATGTCAGGTTCAATGATTTTGCCGGGATTGGAACCAATCTCAACTTTAGCTTCATGGGTAGCCGGCTGAGCCCTAGTTCACATAGCATCTAGCTGCTGTGTGTGGCCACCGGACAAGATGTGGGGGAAAAGCCAACAAGAATTATTTCATGTTTGCTGGAACGTCGTTTGTGTCAGCGGCTTGTTTGTGCAGCTACAGCTTCCTGAATCGTTGAATCATTGCAAACTGTGCCCTCCTCTTTTGTTTCATTCGCTCAACCTTCCCAGCTCAACCTTCTGACATTCAACTTCTATATGTGCGACAGGCGATGTTTGGGCATACCTTTGCCAATTTCGCTGCGCCAATGATCTTCTCAAAGTGGCGCTGGAAATTACACCAGAGACGGGGAAGACAACCACTGATAATGAGATGACCAACTTACGTGGACTACTTCAAGACATGGAAGAGGAAGGCTTGGTGGACACCAAACTGAAAGACCACAACCTCGAGCGGCCTGGTGCCAGTGCCGGCCATGAAGGCCATCGCCAGCCATTGCACAAAGACAAACAAAAAGGTCATGGTATCCTAGATCACTGTGCTTACTATTGTATAATTCATGGTTCAAGCTGTTGGGTTTGGAGGTGATGATGGGAGCGATATGTTCATCGTGAAGCCAAACGCTGTGGTTCCGATCTTCCAGTACACTCCTGCTACTGCTGGGTTGAAATTCAGCTCAGCTGCTTCAGCTTTTCCTCG